GGACGTCTTCATCCTTGACAGAGTTCAGCGGCAGACGGCAGCCGCCGCCAACGACGACGACCAGAGAGGCTTCATCGAACTGCTGCCGCGTGCGCGTGATGGACAGCTTTGCGACGAGGACTGGGACCTCCTCCTGAAGAGACAGCCCAACCGCCTGACCGCCGCTGAGAAAGCGGCTTTCGAGGACGCAACGAGGCTCTTCTACTCCAAGAAAGAGGTCAACAAGTACAACGGCAAGAAACTCCGGGAGCTGGACAACCCCGTCGCTCGTGTTAGCGCCGTCCACACGGGCGCGAACGCCAGGAGGGCGACAGCAGACACCGCGGAGGGGCTCGAGAGGGACCTCTACTTAGCCAAGGGAGCGAAGGTTATGCTCTCGAAGAACCTGTACCAACAAGTTGGGCTGGTGAACGGCATTAGAGGCGAAGTCGTCGAGTTGGTGTGCGCAGATGACGGCCCCCGCCGAAGCTCCCCCTTTACGTTGTCGTCAAGTTTGAAGGGTACTCGGGGGGGGAATGGTCGTCTCAGGAGAGGTATAGACGTTGTGTCCCTATTTCTCCCGTCGACACCACCTGGCAGGACGGGGGGACGCAGGTCAGGACGCAGCTGCCCCTTAGGCTCTGCTGGGCAATTACGATGCACAAGTCCCAGGGGCAGACTTTAGCCAAGGCCGTCATTGACTTGGGGCCCAAGGAGGCCTGCACGGGGCTTACTTTCGTCTGTCTCAGTAGGGCGAAGAGACTTGTGGACCTCATGGTAGAGCCCATGAGTTTCGACAGGATTGGTAACCTTGGAAATTCGCCGACGATGAAGGCTAGGCTGCAGGAAGAGGTTAGACTTGGGGAGTTAGCACAGAGTACGAGGGTCAAGTACACGGACATGGGCGTCTTCAGCGCCGTCGCGGGTAACCAATGACGTGAATTGCAAAGAGAAAAAGAAGAAGAAAGGGTCTCTTCCACCTCCCGCGGACGCACACGTCTGACGACAGTTACATCTATCAGCTGTCGCTCGTTTTAGCGACAGCTACTATATCTTTTCAGTGGACCCCGCTTTAAGGAAATCAAAATGAAGGAAACTCCCCGGGTAAAGGAAACAATTTTTCGCCAAACACAATGCCCCGCAGAATGTAAAATATACGGGGGGTTCCGTATTCTAGTCGGCGGACCCCCCTTAAACGCCAGCAGGGAGGTCTGCTGCTTCACCTGCTGTCTGCGGTATGCAAAGATTCGTTTCACCTACCGGTGCGTCCTCTGCACCTGGGTTAAAACGGTGTGGGGAACCCACGTGCACGATCACGAAGCTCGTGTGGGGTATCCACACATGCCCGTGCGGACGATGGATGCACGCGTTTTGTGGTCGCGGCATCGGGAAGGAAGGCTACGGACAGCAGAGGGAGTGCACGGAATATCAGAAGACAGCACCCGGAAGCAAGACCGGCAGCTCCAGCAGTCCCATGGAAGTGGATGATGATGACGAGCAGGAGAAAAGCAGGTGACTTACTGGTGTACAGCAGTCCTTCGTAGCGGGGCAATCTAGTGCTGCTGCTGCTGTACAGAGCGGAGCGTCTACCTGCTGTAGTGCTGCACGCATCGGCCAAATCTGATTGACCGTCAATCCAGGGCATGTTAATGCACCGCCCTCCGTTCCTATTTGGGTTCATACTTCACACGCGACAAAGTGTAGCGTTGTTTTGTACAAAATCTTGACTCCCTGTGCTGCGGCAAAAAAAATACATGTGCAAAAAACATGTGTCAAAACATGCGTAGAGTATGTGTGACACACACACACGAAAATCGAAGGCGAAACAGCGAGACGGCGCCCGTGCTGGGATGGAATCGTCCTTGTTCGTTCCCAGCAGTTCTCTCTGGCGCGTAGACTACATGTCTGTGCTGCTGTGATATTGCGTGCACGTGCTGCTCCGCGGAATACTTTTCGCACATCACAGGAGGTTCTTTGTTGTTGGTGCTGTGGGCATGGAGAAACATAAACCATTCCCTCTTTTTTTATTGTCGAAAATTCTTGCGTTAGATGGTGTGTGCGCAAAGAAGATAGAAATTTGTCGAGCAAACACGAGGTTACCTTTTGTATGTATACGACAAGACGCTCGTATGTACCGGTGCACCCGTGTGTGCCGCTGCTGCGCAATAGTGGGCTATGCTGCCCCAGCGAAACACACGTGTTCTACTATCATCTGCAATCAAAACTACATTCGTGACCACCTCATGGAGTCTGATTATTGTCTCTTTTCGTTTCCACTACGTACCGCAGCACGGCACAGCAGCCGGCACGGAGCAAGAAGCGCGAAGGCGATGCAGGTGCGGGCGGAGGCGGTGGGGCGAGTGGCGGCGGCGGCGGCGGCGGCGGCGACAATGCCGCCGCGGCCGCCACCAAGAAGCGCAAGGCGTCAACCCCCGGGCCGGACACTAGCAAAAACAAGCTCAACTTACGGCAGCGGCACGAGCTCGTCAAAGAGGTCCAAGATGGTGGTGTCAGGGCTAAAGTCGCGGTGAAGTACGGCGTCAGCAAGGGGTACGTCACAAAGCTGATGATGCCCGACAACATCGCTAAGCTCAACAGGGCAGTCCAGATGGAGCTCAACCCGGAGGCCCGCCGCGTCCCGGAACCGGTGGAGGCGGAGTTGGAACAGCGTGTTCCCAAGTGGATCAAGATTGCGCGAGAGCGATTCATGGTGAGGGCTGACGTTGGACGCCGGGTCGGATAAATTGTGGGTTGATATGGTGGGCAGGTTATTAGTTGTACGTCCCTCGTTTGAGAATTTCCGTTTGCGTTTTGTTAGGTATGATTTTCGATCGCGTCAGTCCTTTCATGTCCCCACACATGATGGTACCGACCTGCCTTCAAAATCCTATGCACCTACAACTGCAGCCGCTGACGTCCGTTTCTTACTG